CATGAAACACAGACGCGTGTGCAAACACTGAACGAATGTGCGAAATTATGTTGCGTGACAATCAAATCTAAATGCAAACAGGTACCCGCATTTCCTGACAGCGCGAACTGCGATCCATGACTCAAATGCCGAAGAAGCTTCTTCCATTGAGCTAATTGCCCCTAGTTGGTTGTGGATTGCACCCGCTGTCACGTCTCCATCTTCCGATGCCAACAGGACGTCGAAAACCGCATCAACGGCGTCGGTATCCAAACGATATGTATAAGGTGCTGTAACAGGGGTTGCTTCTGATTGCATGGCATACGCATTCCCAACTGACCAGACACTCTTCACTTGACAATGAGGCTGACAACTGTTCGAACGTGCGCCGTGTCCTGCGCCATTAGCGCCGTGTCGTTCTCACAACACCATATCCAAAACACGAGTTGTTGAGAGCAGGTGATTGCGGTTATGCGGCACACGAATGTACGCGGTCGGGGCGGATACCCAAAAACACAAAGAACTGTGAAATCCATCCATATATGTCGAATGAGGCAGTGAATTATTTCCAGCAGGTAGCTGCGTGACTGGATTTGCTCGCATACTGAACTTCCTCTGTTTCGACCGTGCTCTAAGACTCCGAGCTGTCTTTCTCTCTCTCTCTCTGCCTCCGCTGCGATTTGGTCATCGCTCACAAGTCCTGGCGCCGCTTCCGCGTTTGCTGACGCTGCTAATTCTAGCCCTGGGGGCGGCGAGGGAGAGCGATCCACACACGACTGCATACCAACTCCTTCCGAATCAAGTAGGCCCAACCCGGGAGGCTCGGTGATGCCGCCAGGATGCACAAGCTTTGTGCGTTGTGAAATCCTTATTATTCGGATGCGCATACGACGTTTCATTGCAGAGGCCACACACGTGCAGGTCAACATCATGGTAACATAAGGTACATTATCGGATATATGACCACGGTGTGTCCGCTGCTTCGCTAACGACGAGTCCTCCAGTCTCCCTGCCCCCGACGCATGTGGGTAAGGGGCGCAACACTACCTCGGGCGCGATCCTGCAACTTGCACGGCTGGGCGGCAGGTTTCGATGCCCTCAAACGGCAGCCTACGGGAGAAGGAGGAGGAGGAGGAGGAGGAGGAGGAGCAGAGGGAGGAGGGGGAAGAGGGGGAGGGGGGGGCCAACAGCGCGCGGCGGGCTCGCCCCTGTGGGGCCGCTGCGGCTGCGGCGTGCTGGGCATCGAGGGGGCGCCGGGGCCTGCCGCCGAGGGCAGCCAGCAGGGTCGCCCGCCATGTCTCTTCCTCCCCCTCCCCTTCCTCCGCCGCCGCTTCCTCTTCCCTCCTCCTCCGTCCTTCCTCCTCCTCCTTTTCCTCCTCATCCTCCTCCTCCTTTTCCTCCTAATCCTCCTCCTCCGCCTCCTCCGCCTTCCCCGCCGCCTCTTCCTCCTCCTCCTCCTCCTCCTCCTCCTCCTCCTCTTCCTCCTCCTCCTCCTCATCCCCATCTTCATCCTCACCCTCATCCTTATCCTCATCCTCATCCTCTACCTCCTCTTCCTCCTCCTCCTCCGCCTCCTCTCGCGCTCTTCCTCCTCTCCTCCTCTCCTCTCTCCTCCTCCTCCTCCTCTCCTCCTCCTCCCCACCTCCTCCGCCTCCGGCCTCGCTTCTCTCTCTCTCTCTCTGACCTCCTCCTCCTCCTCCTCTCAGCCTCCTCTCCGCCTCTCCTTACACTTTCCCCCTCCCGCCCTCCCCCTCCTTCTTCCGCCGCCGCCTCCTCCTTTCCTCCTCCTCCCCTCCCTTCCTCCTCCTTCCTTCCTCCTCCACTTCTCTCCTCCTGCCTCATTTTTCGCTCTTCTTCTCTCTTCCTCCCTCCTCTTCCTTCTCCTCCTCTTCCTCCTCCTCATCCCCATCTTCATCCTCAGCCTTCTCCTTATCATCATCCTCATCCTCCGCCTCCTCCTCGTCCTCCTCTTCCTCCTCCTCCTCCTCCGCCTCCTCCTCCTCCTCCTCATCCCACTTCTTCATCCTCCTCACTGGACGACGTCATGGTGGCCGACGTTTGGCGTAATCGATGTGCTGGAGCTCGACGTCATGGTGGCCGATGCTGTATCCACTTCCACGGGATGCGACCCAGCATTTGGTAACCATTGCCCGTCGTGATTCTTCCACCTGTGAGCAACGGGGTCGAACCCAGGTAGCTGACGATCACTATGCCAGACCCTCCATTGCCAGCCATGGAAGACTGGGAATCGATCCGTGCCGCCGCCTCCACCGCCAGTGTTTACCTGCCCATCTTCGCCTTTGAAATTCGCCGGCCCAACGGGCCAGAGGCGTGCTAAGATCTCCGGTAACTGGTTAACAATTTTCTAGTTCGCGCGCGCGGGGCGGCCCCTGGGGGTCCCCGGACGAAAAGTACCCCGACCAGGTCCCGGCCGGGTCCCCCCGAGCGCTCCATGAGCGCACCAACAGGGCTCCGAGACGTCCCCGAGAGCCCCAAGAAAGGCCAAGAGGCCCCCAAGAGGCCCCCAAGATGGTACACGAGGGGTCCGACATGCCACATGATCGCTCCAAGACGCCCAAGATAGCCCCCAGACGCCCCAAGAGGCCTCCAAGAGCACTCCCAAGAGGGCCCCCGGAGGCAAAATTCATTGTTTTTCCTTAGGTTTTTGAGAGATTTTGGAGCTTCCACCTTTTCGGTTCCCGACGCCCCAAGACGGCCCCAGAGGCCCCCAATATCGCCCCAAGAGGGCCCAAGAGGCCCCCAAGAGGGCCCCAAGATGGCCCAAGAGGGCTCGAAGACGGCCCAAGAAGCCTCCAAAACGGTCCAAGAGGGCCCCAAGAACGCCCCCAAAGGGGCCCCAGAGAGGGAACACGATACAACATTTCGAGCCCTCGGCCCTAAGAAGCCCCTACGAGGCCCCTAAGAGGCCCCAAGAGGCCCCCACGGGGCCCTCAGGAGGCCCCCAAGAGTCCCCCAAGCGGCCCCAGGAGGCCCCAAATGCCCCCCCGAGCGCCCCAGGAGTCCCCCAAGCGGCCCCAGGAACCCCCAAAGCGCCGCATTGACACCAGGCCCTCGGGCAAACGGCAGACATGAGACTGTATGGGCCGGCGGAATGAGCGAAGCGATTAAATAAGCATCACCATCACTACTTCCGTAACTGCTTCCATCGCCGCCGCCCCCTGTGCCGCCGGCCCCTCCCAGATAAGTGGTGCAATCGCAATTTGCGTTAACACCACCGCCATCCCCCCCGCCGTAAAACGTAGAAGTGCCTGAGATTGACGACGCCACTCCAGGGCCACCATCTCCTCCGTAGTGCGTTTGTGGTGCGTCGCTGACAACGCCTCCCGCACCACCGCCGCCGCCGCCCGCGCCATATGACGCCAGGTTGCTACGTCCGCCACAGTAACCTTATCCCGCCATCCCAGCCGCATAAGCAACACTCGGCAGATCAAACGCACCTCCACCGCCCGAGCCCCCGCTGGAGACAATCCTGGAACTGCACCCTGCACCCTTCCCACCGCTGGTTGCCACCAGAGAGCCGACCGAAGAGTCGCCGCCGTTCGCTGCCTCCGCTCCAAAGCTAGCACCCCCCGAGCCTCCGATGCCGCCTGTGCCTGTGCCAAACGTGATCGCCTCACTGGCAGATATGACCAGACCTGTTCCCTGAAGCACAGCGCCGCCGCCGCCCCCCGACGCACCGCCGCCGCCGCCGCCAGCAGCGATCAAGTACTCCACCGTCACGGTTTGCGCCGCATCAGTTGGCGAAGGCGTCGGACTGGGCGTCGGGGACGAGGACAGACTGGAGGTCGGGCTGCTCGTCGGAGTGGACGCCGGGGACGCGGTCGGACTGAAGGTCGGGGCAGGGGTCATCTTGATGTACCAGTCCAAGTTATCAATGTACATGTCGGCGTCAATATCGCACAGCGCCGCGCAATCCTCAAGAGAAGTGTTTGAATACTGCGCACAGTGGTAGCACCGCTGACACAAGCAGGCGAAATGACTTCATATCTGACGAGGACTGGCGTAGTTGGGGCTGGAGCAGGTACTGCTCGATGTGCTGGAGCAGGTGCTGGGCAGCCGCTGCAGCCACCACAATCACACAAGTGGTTTGAGCCGCCAGGATGTCTGCTGTCGCCATGCGCGAGCAGGTTTGCCTCACAGCCCCACTAGACATTGCACCAAACACCACAAAAAGATTGACCGAACTCGTCGAATGAGCACTGCTCGACGGCATCTGGATTTGCGCAACGGCCGGAACCGCTCGAGCTGAAAGACGCGTCACATTCGGCGCCGACGCTACACTGCTTGTTGGCATCCAACATGAGCAAAAATGAGGCCAAGGGCCGCAGCCTGGTCCTGGCACTCCACCGGCGTTGCACCGCTTCGATCGACCCAGCTGGCGCCAACGCACACCGCGTCGGACACCCGTGCCCACGCCGAGGCTAACCCGACGACCGTCCACGTGTCCAGCACTGCCGCGCGTCTGCGCCCTGCTGGAGCGCTCTGCCAAGACCCCCTGCGGGGCACGCGGGATGAACGGCACCTCCCCCTGGGCTCCCCACCCGCTCGCGCACGGTGAGCTCCTGCAGGGAGAGGCCCTCCGCGTCCAGCGCGTCCCCAAGGGCACGGCGGGCCGTGCAGCAGCTCGCTGCCGCACGGCCGCGCCTCACCACCCGCGAGCGCCGAGAGCGCCGCGGAGAGCGTCAGGGCTACGGCCCGCATCTCGCCGCTGGCATGAGCAGCTCGGTCGTGCGCGCCGCCCTGGCTGTCTTGGGGGGGGGCGCCGCGGGCCACGGGCGCCAGGTGCGGGGATCGGGCCGCAGACACCACCGACGCCAAACGGCTGGAGCCAAAAATGGCTACGGACTCCAGCGTAGGACCACAGTGTTAGAGATCCCCCTGGGTGGCAGGAACAGGTGAAAACCTCTGGCTCCTGATTTCTGGACCTGGGAGGGCTACATGAACCCAGAACACCATAGCGAGCCGCATTTTTGGGCCAAATCGAGCCCGAACACCATTCTGGGTCTCGGTTCTGGACCACATCGAACAAGAACACCGAGTGAGCGCTGCCGGACCGTTCTGCCAGACCGCCGCCGGGCCTGGGAGACGCCTCCCCCAGCCCCCCATGTGGAGATTCTAACGAGAGGAACCTTCGAATTCTGTTACAACCCTCTAGCGAAACGCGAGTAGGGAACGCACAACCAGCCTTGCGAAAATCAATGAATGTGGCCTCTCTGGGCCTTCTTATAGGGGTCCTTTTTGGGCTCCTTTGGGCCTTCTTGAGGCCATCTTGCGTCGTCCTGGGATCCTCTTGGGCCGTCTTGAAGGGCTTGCGCTGTCTTGGGGCCCCCTCGGAGCCCTCTGGGGTCCTTGGTCCTCTTGGGGACCTCCTGTCGCCCTCTTAGGGCTCTCTTGGGGACCTTTTGGGACCCTAAGGGGCCTCTCTTGTGCCGTCTTGGGGTTCTGTTGGGCCGTCTTGAAGCCCTCTTGGGCCGATGTGCCGTCTTGGGGCGATCCTGGGGGTCTCTTGGGCTGTCGTGGACGCTGCTGGGACCAAAGAAGCGGGTATGCTAAACATGTACGAATTCTCAAGCAAATGGGGCGAGTTCTGCCTCTTGGGCGCCCTTTTGGAAGCTTCGTGGAGCGTCTTGGTGGCCTCTTTGGCCGTCTTGAGGCCATCTTGGGCCCTACTTGAGCGCTCTAAGGCTATCTTGGGGTCCTCTTGGGCCTCCCTGAGGCCGCCGTGGAGGTATCTTAAGCGCTCACGGGCCTGTCTTGGGCCGTTTGGGGGCCCTCTGAGGCGCTCTTGGGCCTGACTTCTGGCCTCTCCAGGCCTTCCTGGGGGTCCTCGTGGGGCTCCTTTGGGCCGTCTTGAAGCCCTCTTGGATCGATCTGGGGCCCTCTCGAGCCGACCCTCAGGAGCATCTCTTGGGCCGTCTTGGGGCCACGTTGGGCAGTCTTGGAGCCCTCTTTGGCAATCTTGGAGCAGTCTTTGGGCCGCCTTGGGGCCGTCGTTGGGCCGTCTCTGGGGCTTCTTGTGCTGTCGTCTTGGGGCGATCCTGGGAGGGCCCTTGGGCCGTCGTGTACGCTGTGAAGACCAAAGAAGCAGATAGACTAAGAAGCAGATAGCTGGCTGTGTGCCTGTTGGGCGTCCTTTTGGAGGCTTCGTGGAGCGTCTCGAGGGCCTCTCTGGCCGCCTTGAGGCCGTCACGGGCCCTCTTTAAGCGTTCTTGGGCCGTCTTGGGGTCCTCCTGGACCTCCCTGAGGCCGTCGTGGAGGTGGTTTGGGCGCCTTGTGGGCCCTGTCGGGTCGTGTTGGAGCCACCTGAGGCGCTCTTGGGACTGACTTGTGGCCGTGCAGGGCCGCACGTGACAGAACACTGGGCGATTCGGTCTGGGCCCGCTGGGGCTGACCCCCCTCACGCTCCCCCTCGAGAGTTGTCCCGGCTAACGGACCGCGACGCTACGCTTAAGTCGTGCCTGTTCCCCTACAGGGGGATTTGGGTGTAAAATAAGGAAAACACAAAACAAATACCAAAAATGAAAAATACTAAAACATCGTCCCCTGACTACTTTTTACTATTTACCTAACAGCGAAGACTGATAGGTTTCTAGTGGGCTCAAAAGAGAGCATATTGACTCCCCAGGGAGGTCTGGGCGGATGTCGGGGAGGATCCGGGGACTCCCCGGGTCTCCCCAGAAGGGTATGGGCGGGTGCCGGGGAGGATCAGGGGACTCCCCAGAACACCACTCCCAGGCCACATTTTGAATGCCCGGAACCAACTGTAGGCCACTTCGTGTTCTTCGTGCTCCCAGAACACAATTCCCAGGCCACATTTTGAGTGCCCGAAGCCAAGTGTAGGCCACTTCGTGTTCTTCGTCTTCACAGAACACCATTCCCAGGCCACTTTTTGAATGCCCGGAGCCAACTGTAGGCCACTTCGTGTTCTTCGCGTTCCCAGAACACCATTTCCAGGCCACATTTTGAAGGCCCCGAGCCAACTGTAGGCCATTTCGTGTTCTTCGTGCTCCCAGAACAGCATTCCTGTACCAACTTTTTGACTGCCCGGAGCCAACTGTGGGCCACTTCGTGATCTTCCTGTTCCCAGAACACAAGTCCTGTGCCATATGTTGAATGCCCGAGCTGAGGCAGGCTGAGGCCGAGGCAGGCTGAGGCCGAGGCAGGCTGCACGCCGAGGCAGGCTGAGGCTGAGGCTGAGGCAGGCTGAGGCTGAGGCAGGCTGAGGCTGAGGCTGACGAAGGCTGAGGCCGAGGCAGGCTAAGGCTGAGGCTGAGGCAGACTGAGGCTTAGGCAGGCTGAGACTGAGGCTGAGGCTGAGGCTGAGGCTGAGGCTGAGGCAGGCTGAGGCTGAGAGGCTGAGGCTGAGGCAGGCTGAGGCTGAGGCTGAGGCTGAGGCAAGCTGAGGCTGAGGCTGAGGCAAGCCGAGGCAGGCTGAGGCTGAGGCTGAAGCTGAGGCAGGCTGAGGCTGAGGCTGAGGCTGAGGCTGAGGCTGAGGCAAGCTGCGGCTGAGGCAGGCTGAGGCTGAGGCTGATGCAGGCTGAGGCTGAGGCAGGTGAGGCTGAGGCTGAGGCTGAGGCTGAGGCTGAGGCCGAGGCAGGCTGAGGCTGAGGCCGAGGCAAGCGAGGCTGAGGCTGAGGCTGAGGCTGAGGCTGAGGCTGATGCTGAGGCAGGCTGAGGCTGAGACAGGCTGAGGCTGAGGCTGAGGCAGGCTGAGGCTGAGGCAGGCTGAGGCTGAGGCCGAGGCAGGCTCAGGCCGAGACAGGCTGAGGCTGAGACCGAGGCTGAGGCTGAGGATGAGGCCGAGGCAGGCCGAAGCTGAGACAAGTTGAAGCTGAATCGGGGGGGGAAGGGGGGGAGGAGGGGAGGCTGAGGCAGGCTGAGGCCGAGGCAGGCTGAGGCCGAGGCAGGCTGAGGCTGAGGCTGAGGCAAGCCGAGGCAGGCTGAGGCTGAGGCTGAGGCTGAGGCTGAGGCAGGCTGAGGCTGAGGCAGGCTGAGGCTGAGGCTGAGGCTGACGCAGGCTGAGGCCGAGGCAGGCTGAGGCTGAGACTGAGGCAGGCTGAGGCTGAGGCCGAGGCAGGATGAGGCTGAGGCTGAGGCAAGCCGAGGCAAGCTGAGGCTGAGGCTGAAACTGAGAAAGGCTGAGGCGTCCGTAGGAATCCATTGGAATCCTTAGGAATCCCTAAGAATCCTTAGGAATCCGTAGGCATCCTTAGGAATCCGTAGACATAGTTAAGCATCCTCAGGAATCCTTAGGAATCCTTAGGATTCCCTAGGAATCCTTAGGAATCCCTAGGAATCAGGATTCCTAAGGATTCCTAAGGTTTCCTAAGGATTCCGATGAATTCCTAAGGATGCCTAAGGATGCCTTAGGAATCCCTAGGAATCCTTAGGATTCCATTGGATCCTAAGGTCGTTGCCACTGCGACAGTCATTGCGAATGCGACTGCGACTGCGAGAACAGCAGAATTCTACAACTGTATTCTCACCTGAATCTTAAGGGGAATGCTTCCAACTATGTTTATACACATCGCTGTTAGGTTGCTTTGCCGGGATAATTTTGAATATTCCTCCTGTAGAGGGACAGGCCCGACTAAACGCTACGCGCGCTTTCCGTCATCTGGGGGTCGGGCTGCCAACCCCCTCGAACTCCCAGATTGTCCTCACGACTGAAGGATTGCACGTGAAGCGCGCGTTCCGTTATCCGCCGCCCCCTGCTGCTTGCAAAGGGGTGCTTGGCGGCGTGCAGGATGGTAACCGTTCGAATCCGCCCGAAGTTTCCCAGTGGGGTCTCGTCCGATCTCTGCAGCTGCACGTCCCGTGGGCGTTTCCATCCAAGATGGCTCCAAGAAGCCTCCGAGATGGCGAAGACCGCCGAAGATGGC